GGGGCTAGAACAGTTCATCAGCTTCCCACAGCTTCTGTGACCTACACTCAGCCATAGTCCAGAAGAATCCAACAGAAAATTCCACAAGTAGACAGTGTGCATGTGTTAGGACCCATGATCCTGGGAGCCGTGTGACGGACACCATACTGTGCAGCGGAGTGCACCTGTCTGAGTCCTGTGTGGGCACAGAGGCTGAGCATTCCAGGCCTCCACCCCCAGGCAGCATGCCATGCCTTTCACACAATCTGCCCAGGTGCTACGGGCCTGTGCTTGGCAGCAGACATGACTGGAACTTCAGTGCTGGGAGTGGGGAGACACAAAATGAATCCCCGTCTTGAGAATGAGGGACATGGACTGAGCCCTGCTACAGTTCTCATGGCGGACCATGTAGAAGGAGCAGGCTTGAGTGGCCGAATCCTTTCTGTAATTGTGATATCATTTGAAGGCCACACCAGTGTCCACAGTCTGAGAGACCGTGCCCACCCTGCACTGGTTCTGATCCATTGTTATATGCTTGGTAACTGGGCCCCATCGGGATATGCTGTGTCAGCACTTGGTAACTGGGTCCCACCATCAGGATGTGCTGTGTCAGCACTTGGTAACTGGGTCCCACCATCAGGATGTGCTGTGTCAGCACTTGATAACTGGGCCCCATCAGGAAATGCTCTATCACCTATAAAGCGCCAGGAAGCCCTGCTGAAGGAGTGCTGGCTGTTTGCTTGCACATCCTTTCCATACACACCTCCAGGGAGCTGGTTAACCTCCCAGTGTCTGTGTCACAGGCAGAGGCACAGCAAGTGAGCTCGTTATCTCATGGTACACCTGAGGGATGGAGTGCGTGCGTGTGTGTGAACACACCATGACCATAACCATGTGTGTGAACACTGTGGCTCACATGAAAGATAGTCGTGTGTGCATGAACATGTGACGTCCGTGTATGAACATAAGATGCCCATATGTGTGAACGTGTGACATCCAAGTGTGAAATGTGATGCCAGTGTATGTGAACATGTGATGTCTGTTATCAACATGTGATGTCCATACATGCCAACATGTGATGTCTGTGTGTGAACTTGTGAAGCCCATGAGTGCAAATGTGTGGTGTCCATGTGTGTTTACATGTGATGCCCATGTGTGTGAACTTGCTATACCCATCTGTGAGCATGATGTCCTCATTTGAACACGTGAAACAGGCCAGAAAAACATGTGATACAGACCAGGGCACACATGACACAGACAAGGGCACACATGTCAGACCAGGAAATGTGTGACACAGACCAGAACATGCATGATAGATCATGACATATGTGATACACACTAGGACACACATGATATAGCCCAGGGACAAGGACTTGCTGTTGTCCTGATCCCTGGAGGTTTACTTCTTCCTGTCTTCTTAGAACTGGCCACACATCTGTAGCTTGTACAACATTGTTGGTTAGCTCTGTCACTCGTGGTCAGAATTGTATTGCAGAGGTTGGTTCGATGCCCAGCTCTACCGTCAGGACTCTCCCGGAGCCCACAGCCCGGGCACTCGGACTGGGCTGACCCTGCAGGTCTGGGGCCTTAGTTCCATTGTTTAGTATTTCCCAGTAGTCAATCCTGACCTGACCTGACATGTCCCTGACCTGTGGCTTTCATGTCTCGTGTGTACGTCCTTGGCTTCCCACCAGACACCACATTTGTTTCCCCATAATCAGTCCTGGGCTCAGCAGTCAGGCTGGGCCCTCTGTCTTCCTCCCCAGTCTCCCCCATCCTGCCATGATCTGTCTTTATCCATATTCCCCCACCATTAACACAGATCTCGTAGCCTGCAGCCAGATGGACCATGCAAGGTCCTGCTTCTGCCTTGCTCTGAGCTGCATGGAAGGCTTTAGCCAGAGGCCTTTGCAGGCAGGTCCACACCCGAGGCTGGCAATGCCCCTGTGGCTGAGCTTAGCCACACCCATGCAGAACAATACTGGACCTGGAGGAATCAGCACTGGGCCTTGGAGCCACATCTAGACTGACTCACCGAGCCCAGGCAACACATGGGCAAGAGGAGAACAAATGAGAATGATTTCAAACCACCACATTGCAGAATGGCGTATTCACAGTACCGCAGTAAGCGATGACTAAAACAGAACTTTCTAGAATGAAAGAACACTAAAAATGGCCAATTACTCAATCTGTTGGAACAGTGGTTTCAACTCCAGGTTATGCAATGAGGTGAGGAATCTGCAGGAATGTGGGGGACACACAGTCACAGGCCATCTAAGGTTCTTCAAAGCATATGCTTTGGCTCACCCAATGTAACTGCAGCAAGCACATGTAGTTCACTAAATCCGTGGCAGCCGAATTCCAAGTTGAAATTTGTGCATGACCTGCGAATGAAGCTATAGAAATCCAAAAGGCCCTTAGGAGAAAAAAGGCTCCCCACCCTGGTAAGGCAAAGCCACACCCTTACTCAGCATGGCAACTATGACCACCACCACCATCACCACCTCCACCATCTCCAGCATCACCATCATCACCACCATTATCATCACGATCATCACCACCCCACCATCCACCATCTCCACAATCACCATCATCACTACCATTACCATCACAATCATCATCAGTACCACCATCACCACCCCACCATCTCCACCTCCACCATCTCCATCATCACCACTATCACCACTACGGCCATCTCCACCATCACCGCTGTCACAGGCCTGTGTCGAGCTCACCACACCTTCTCACTCTCTGCCTGGTATAATGTACTTTACATGGTGTCTTGTCTACTTGGCAGTCTGTGGTCACTTTAGTCACCTCAACACAATTCCAGAAAACAACTGCTACTGTGACAGTTGCTGGCGTGGCATTCACAGGTATGATTCACAGGCTGGCCATGTGAGGGGGAGCCTTTGCAAATGTGAGGAGAGTTCAAGATGGCTGGACCTCATGCTAAGAATTACAACAGGAGTGTGTGGGGGGAGGGGGCGGAGACTGCTACGAACCACCATACTCAAGGAACCTGTTGCCAAGAACAGCCACTGGGGGGATGGAGGCCTGCCGCTAAGAAGGGCCACCCTGGGGGTGAGGGCAGCAGTTTCCGGCTTAGATGGCTGACCTACTGAAGAGTCTTTGGTCACAGCCTGTCCCACTCACCTCACCTCACCCCTCCTGAGCTCCCCTGGCCCAACCCCTTCAGCCCTACACACACGTTCCTCTCCAATCTGGGCAAAAGGCAATCTAGGCCACCCTCTTCCTGGCATGCTTCCCACCAGCCACAACCCTTGGCTTCGTCCTCACGAGTCTTCCCCTGCATGGTCAGTCACAGAGTTGGTGGGTCACCACCCTCCTCGGAGCAGAGTGGTGCTCCTAGAGGGAGGAGGCCATGCTGAAGCGACCATGACAGGCCCTGGAGGACGCAGCGACCATGCCAGGGCAGAGCACACAATGGTTTCGGGGTTGGGGATTTGCACCCATCAGAACACAGACACTTTGTGCCTCCCAAGCAGGTACCCATGGGAGCTGCTTTAAGCAAGGCCGGGGTGGTCCTGCAGACAAATCGTTCCTCCACACCACGAGGCTGGTGGACGTGGGCAGAGCTGTCCCCTTGTCCTTGCTCACAGCATGCCCCGCGCACAGCACGGCATGGCGTCTGCACCACAGATCCCTCCACATGACGTGCGACACTCGGCACGGCACAGAATGTAGCTAGCAGCCTCACTGGTTCTTTTGCAAATGTGCTTGTTCCAGGCTGGGTGGGTGGACTTGTCGTGCAGGGGGGCCTAGAACATGCCTCCCTGGCCTGTGCCGTGGGGGACGGGCACAAAGGACAAGACTCTGACCTGGACTGGGAGAAAGACCTCGGTGCTTTTTTGATAGCATATTTTATTTTAATCTAAGAAAGATGATTAAATTCAAAGTTCAGAAGTATAAAAGACGATCCGAAACATCCAGGGTCGTAGGTGTTTCTGAAATAACCTTGACACGGGCCTGAGCGGGTGGGGAACCCTGCCTGCCCGCATGCGTTCTTTCCACGCAGTTCAGAGAGCACATCGAGGTGTCAGGGGCTGACCCCAGTCAAGATGACCATGCACACACCCTCCCCACTCTGCCCAGAGGCATCCCTAGACATGGCTCCTGTCGGGGACCAGGGGCTGACCCCGGTCAAGACGGCCACACACACACACCCTCCCCACTCTGCCCAGGGTGGAGGGCAGTGGCTGGGGACCCCCAGACACGGGCACTCAGTTCTCGCCCCTACCCAGACCACTGGCCTGTCCTCCCTTGAAGCTTCTAGAATGGGGGGGGGGGCTGTGTGAACAGCTCCTAGGGCACAGGCCCCCTGGTATCCCTCTTGAGGACTGTCAGTGGCCCCGGGGTGGCAACAGCAGGAACAGAGAAGCAGGTAGGTGGGGCGCTCCAGGCAGGGGCTGAGGTCAGGCCAGAGTTGGGCTCATTTCTGGCAGGGAGGGCGGGGTGGCTGTCCAGAAAGAGCAGCTCTGCGGCACGAAGCTCCGGGGGTTACAAACAACGCCAGCAAAGCTGCAAGCGGACAAGCAGTCGAGTCACGTTGGCCCTCCCATCAGGGAGAGCACAAGAGACCTTGCCCGGCGGCCTGTGCTGGCCCCATGTGCCTTAGGGCACAGACTCCAGAGAGCAAAGGAAGCAGAGCCCAAGAGACGACCCACCCATGCCTGCTGGCTGACCACATGTGTCCCGAACTGGGTCCAAGCTGCTGGGGGCGCCGCAGATGGTGGCCCTGCAGGAGCAGGACTAGAGCACCTGGCGCGGAGACTGTGTGTGGCCCTGGGCAGAGCCGGCAGATGAAGCGTAAACTTGTCAGAGGCCGTGCAGCAAGCCCGGTGGAGACAGGCGTGCACTGTCCCGAGCACGGCAGCCACCGGGACACGCCCCTCCACAGTGACTCCACGTGTGGGGATGGAGCACACTCGACGGGGCTGCATGGCTGGTGTGCTCTGGCGTTTCCCTGGAGCCTTGGTGCCGCCGTGCACACGGGCTCCTCAGCCTTGCTTCCTGGGCTGAAACAGAGAGAGAGAGATCATCCTGGTGGGTGGGCAGGGCTGGCCTCGGATGGGACAGCGGCGTTTCCTGCACATGTCGGCAGCACAGTCGCAGTGTGAGCTCTGAGTCTAACCATGGCATATCCAGCTGGAGCTTTGCATCCAGAAAAGGCAGGCGTGGCACTACCCTGACCCTCTGTACTTGCTCTGTCTTCCACGACCAGGGCAGAAGACAGACAGGCAGTGGACTACGGGGCATGTGAGACCACTGGCCACTCCTGCTGGGGCATCTTCAACAGCAGCTTCAGGGCACTGTGGCAGGGAGGTCTTGTCCATTGATGAGGGGAAGCACCTGACCGCCACAGGAAGCCCCGTGGCATCTCCACTGCTCCAGTGGCCAGCCTCGTGGGCTGCAGCCAATCCTCGGTCCGTGTTACAGACAGGGATAACCATGTTCTCCAATGCCACCTTGGGTACCATCCTTCTGCTATGGGTCACTGCTGGTCACCTAGCACCCCCAGCCAGTGTCAGCATGTGGACATGTGTGTGGATGACAAGCTGGGTATCATCGCTTCTCTTGGTACCACTGGAAACCACCGACAATGCTTGTTTCCCAGAAGGCCAAGGGGCAGATTGCTCAGGCCTCTCAGGGCGTGGGGGCTGGTGTGCCCCAGGCCTTTGGCCTCCCAGTTCATACCAGCCCTTGGCTGGACCACGGGCAGACACTCACCTGCCGGTTGGATGTGCCTTCAGCGCTGCCTCTGGGGGCTGCGGGGAGAGGGAGCAAACAGGACAGGGTTAGAACTTTGTCACACAGGAGTGTCCCTAGGACCCAACAAACACATTGTGCAGCATGGAGTGCGGAGGCTTCCTGAACGCAGACCACCTCCTGGCTCCCCTCTTGGAGCCAGTGTGGCAAAAACCAGACACTGGTCACTTCCCAGCCAGCCACACCCACAGAGAGCCCAAGAACTGACTTCACGGAATGGCAAATGAGAAGAGCCTTCATCCTTGAATCCAAGCTATAGGCTTTGGCTGTTCCTCTGCCCTCTCCCTACAGGCCCAGCTCCACACTGTGCCCCCTCCCTGCAGGCCCAGCTCCACCCTGTGCCCCTCCGTGCAGGATGAGTTCCACCCCTGTGCGCTCCCTGTATTCCCAGCTCCACCCCTGTGCCCTCTCCCTGCAGGCCCAGCTCCATCCTGTGTCCCCTCCCTGCAGGCCCAGCTCCACCCCTGTGCCCTCTCCCTGCAGGCCCAGCTCCACTCCTGTGTCCTCTCCCTGCAGGCCCAGCTCCACCCCTGTGTCCCCTCCCTGTATTCCCAGCTCCACCCCGTGCCCTCTCCCTGTATTCCCAGCTCCACCCCTGTGCCCTCTCCCTGTGGACCCAGCTCCACCCCTGTGCCCTCTCCCTGCAGGCCCAGCTCCACCCCTGTGCCCTCTCCCTGTGGACCCAGCTCCACACTGTGCCCTCTCCCTGTGGACCCAGCTCCACACTGTGCCCTCTCCCTGCAGGCCTAAACCCTCTCTTGTCCCCAACACCTGAATATCCTGTCCTGGCAACTGGAGATATCTAGAGTGGCTTCACCCTTTCCGGTCGTGTCCTCATGGGCGTGAGCTCACACTCCCAGTCACCCATGCGACCAGGCCACATGGCCTCTCCCACGCACAGGCTGGAGCAGGCTTTTGGGCAATGGTTCTAGTCCCGAGGTGTTACAATCACACTGGATGTGCCCCAAGCCCATCGCACCTCATGAACGCCGGGTTTGGCGTGGTGTGTTTTAGGTGTAATATCAGTCTCCCTCCGAATTATAGGCAACTATGGGTTAAAAGCAGGTGACAAGAAAACGCTAATATTGTTAAGTATAAGGAAATACAGAACTTTGCTATATGGCTGAAGTGAACATAAACTTCATTAATGGCATCTGGTAGAATGCTCCATTCAAAACAAGTGTAGGAGTGTGCTATTTACAACACACAAAATGCAGAAAATTAGGCAGAAATAAATCCTGGACTTTAATGGGACAAAATGCCACATATGCAAATGATGGGCAAGGCCACTCCCACCATACTGCCATGGCACATGAAGCGGCACACGGGCCTGGAAGGGGCTTCCCAGAATCTTCTCTGGGAAGACGCAGATCCAGGCGCGACGCGGGAAAAGCAACCCAGGTTATGTATCTTCTTTGACTGTTCACACTTTCTAGAATGAAAGAGGGGCTGGCTCTGTGGCACAACAGGCTCAGCCCTGTGTGCTATGCCAGGCACTCCTGTGGGTGCCAGCACAAGTCCTGGTCCCTCCTTCCCATCTCCCTCCTGCTGATGGCCTGGGAGGGCAGCAGAGGCTCCCAGCTCAGCTCAGCACAGCTCTGCCTTTTAGGGCCACTGGGGGAGTGAGCAAGCAGGTGGAGATTCTAAAAACAAAGGAAGGCTGGCAGGAAGGCAGGAAGCCAAAACAGCACACAGCAGAACGGGCACCATCACAGGATTCCCAGGCTGCACCAAGGAGCCCCCGGCCAAGCCGCCACGCTGCTCCGATTTCCCGTGCCTGCACAATCACTACACGTGATGCCCAGCTGCAGCTGTGGACAGAGGCACTGCCCCCTGCCCTGCACGGCTCACCCCGGATCTGTCCCTGTTCTCAGCAAGGGTAAGCACCTCCACACAGATGAGATGTCCCCAGGTGGGCCAAAGAACAGAATTTCTGAGAAGGACCAGAAGTCATCCAGCCCAAGGGGCCAAGCCTCCGCTCCTCTGACAGGCACAAAGGGTAAGGGAATGAGGGTGGGGGAATGGCAGCCAGTGGCCTGTAGACACTAGAGCTGCTGTCACCACGTGAGACCCCATGCAGATGCCCGAATCCCCCTACTGTGTCCCCGCTCTGGGGCTGTCTTCCTGCTCTAAGCTGTCGTCAGCATGGCTTCCTTATCTACCCCTTGATGCAGCATCTGCACCGACCATGCTGGGCTGCAGAAGCAGTGCTGGGGTTCAGCTTGCTGCAAGCCAGCCCAGCCGCCCAGGGCAGAGAGCGATGCTCAGCACGCTCGGCCGGGCCGCAGCGAGCAGCTCTGCGCAGGAACCCGTGCAGGCCTGGGGACACAGCAGACACGACGATGATCTCCCCTCCCCGGGTCTCCCCCGCTGGCTCCGCTGTGGGTCACCAGTCTCCAGGGACCAACATGGATGAGAAGCCAAGTCGCAGTGTGAGCCAGAGCCGAGCCAGGACACAAGAGCACAATCAGGTGGGCACAAGAGAGAAAGGCCCGGAACCCACCTTAGCAGGCTGTAGAGGCATGGGCACAGGGGTGAGTGAGGAGAGGGCACAGGGGTGAAGGCACAGGGGTGAGGCGAGGAGAGGGCACAGGGATGAAGGCACAGGGGTGAGGCGAGGAGAGGGCACAGGGCTGAAGGCACAGGGGTGAGGCAAGGTGAGGAGAGGGCACAGGGATGAAGGCACAGGGGTGAGGCGAGGAGAGGGCACAGGGGTGAAGGCACAGGGGTGAGGCAAGGTGAGGAGAGGGCACAGGGATGAAGGCACAGGGGTGAGGTGAGGTGAGGTGAGGAGAGGGCACAGGGATGAAGGCACAGGGGTGAGGTGAGGTGAGATGAGGAGAGGGCACAGGGATGAAGGCACAGAGGTGAGGTGAGGAGAGGGCACAGAGTGAGTGAGGAGAGGGAACAGGGGTGAGGCAAGGTAAGGAGAGGGCACAGGGATGAAGGCACAGGGGTGAGGCAAGGAGAGGGCACAGGGGTGAAGGCACAGGGGTGAGGTGAGGAGAGGGCACAGGGGTGAAGGCACAGGGGTGAGGTGAGGAGAGGGCACAGGGGTGAAGGCACAGGGGTGAGGTGAGGAGAGGGCACAGGGGTGAAGGCACAGGGGTGAGGTGAGGAGAGGGCACAGGGGTGAAGGCACAGGGGTGAGGCGAGGAGAGGGCACAGGGGTGAAGGCACAGGGGCGAGGCGAAGAGAGGGCAAGGCGAGGCGCTTACTGTGTCGCTTCCTGGGGCCGGCCTTGCCCTCCTCCTTGGTCACGCCCAGGCAGCCCATGAGCTCCTGCACGGACAGGGACGTGTCGCTGTTGGCGTCACAGTACTCCACAAACTTCTTCACACACTTTTTGGGCTTGGATTTCTTCCGGAGGAGCCTCTTGAAGGGCTTCACCTCCTTCTTGCCGATGTCGCCGCTGGAATTCTTGTCAAGCAGCTTGAAGTACCAGTGCACAACTCTCTCCTCCAGCGTGTGGCTGGGGTCAGGCTCTGCGAGCCTGGAGGGAGCAGGGTGTCAGGACGGCCGTCCGTGCCCACCGTACAGCGTCCTCCCAGCCCCCCGGCCGGCCTGACAGCCCTCTGCTGCATGCTGGTAAGTGCGACAGGCTCTAACACTGTTGGAAAAGCGACCGAGCAGGATCTCTGCAAGCTGCTTCCAACACTGCCCACGACGCCACGAAGGCATGCTCGCAGTCCACACCTGCGCACAGCCAGCCCCGCCTTACCTGCCCGACGAAGAGGAGGGGTCAGAGACTGCGTGCACCATGTCTGTGGACAGGGCGTCCAGGACACTCGTCAGGAACTCGTGCTTTTTGGGACCAGGACAACCTGAAAGAAAGCACAGGTTCTCACGGCTCAGAGTTCTCAGGACGACAGGTGCCTCCTGAGGCAGCAAGCAACGCCTCCTCGCTGGCTGCGCGGCGGCACATGCTCGGGGCAGCACGTACGCAGAAATCCGACCACGGGCATCACCCATGGAGCATCCATGACAGAACGCTGACCAATCACGGCATGGGACCAGGCCCTGGCCTCACACACTGTGCCCGGGCTTGGAGCGGCAGCCACACAGTCCACATAGGGAGTGGCGTTTGGCCTGCTGTGAGGACACCATGCCTGAGTGCCTGAGCTGAGTCGCCACTGCAGGGCACACGCTGGCCTGCTCTGGGAGGCAGGAGTGACCCACGTGGAGGACAGAAGTGAGCCCTGCCTCCTGGCCTCAGCCTCGCCCAACCTGTCCTGGCAGCTTTGGGGGCGCTCTCTCCATTTCTGCTTCTCTCCCTCCTACTCCATCCCACCAGCTACAAGAGCTCTTCCCCAAGAAGACCTGCTGTATGCCCAGGGCAAGGAAACAGGGGCCACAGGGCAGGCGCTGCAGGAGCCGGACGTGGCCTTCTGTGATCTGCCCTGGGAGATGCAGACAGGTGTGACATGCCCCAGCAGCGCACACACACCCCTGACTGTGCCCACCCAGTGGCCCAGCTTCTCCAGCCACAAGGAGGTGCCCTCAGTTTCAGACATGTTCAGGTAGGCCGAGCCACCTCACTCCTGTGACCAAGGCCCGGGGCAGGGGTGGAGGAAGCGGGGAGAGGGGACTGGATCTCTGCCTCAACAACCAGGGTCTGCACACACGATGCCCACTCACCACATGGAACTGCAACTCCAATTTGCTCAGCAAATTCTCCCTGGGCACGGGGCAGATGCTGGACCCCAAGGAGCAGCCACCCAGGTCCCGCCCATGGCTCAAAGCTCAGGATTCCTGTGGCTTAATTCGACCGGTGTGGACACTCCTCGACTGTGGGGTACAGCTGTGGGGCAGGGGAGGCTGCCATACCCCACTCAGGGCACAGGAGGAGTCTGCTGGGTCTGGCAGCGGGGACAGCTGGCACAAGCCCAGCTTGCTACTGGCAGCAGCTCCTCTAAGGCCCGCTGCCCCCAGCAGAACCACAAGAGGGGGCAGCAAGGACTGGCACGTCTCCTGAGGCCGCCTAAAACTTGGGGATTGGCCCGATGAGGAGACACTGCCCTCACCAAGGCCAAGGTGGGCCCGGAGCACCTCCAGGCCTCCTCCCGTTCCAGTCCATCAGAGAACAGCTCGCACAAAGGCTGGCTTTGTCCCATTTCCCGAGGTGACAGGGTCTCAAGAAAGACCAGGAGGCTGGTGAAGATGGCACTGCTGACTGCATCTGCAAGCCCTCCTAGCTTCAGGGGTGCCCATGCCCTCTCTGCCACTGGTGAGCAGCAGGGGTGCCCATGCCCTCTCTGCCATTGGTGAGCAGCATGCACAGACACGGGACACAGGAGACACGTGGCAGCAGGACATGAGACATGTCACGCTCCGTGAGAGCTGCTGGTGCGCTGTGGCTTTCTCCCTAAACCTCTTTTAGTGGAAAAGCGGCAGGCTCAGGCAGGGCTCTGCCCTCCTGTGGCTCCCTCCCGCAGCATGCACTGCTTGACACAGGGCAGGTATCAGGCCATGGTGTCACATGTCACCGCGTGTCCACCCTGACCTTGAGCATCCTTGGAGACTTGGGGAGAAGATTCTCCTGCTGCCCGGCAGACCAAAGCAAGCATTTCCCAGCCCTGGCAGGGAGGGCTGTACTTAAGCACACGTCCACTCATAGAACGACAGGTGTCGTGCACACGCTCTGGCCGTGTGAAGGCAGGGGCATGCATGTCCACCTGCACATCCTGGAGACAGAGGTGCAGAGCCCCACAGACACATGCTTGTATATACGTGTGTGCGCGCATGTGGTAATGGCTTGCACGCTCAGGGCACAGCACTTGCCACATCTGCTCCCCACTGCCTGGATCCCTGCCCATGCTGCTGCCAATGAGGACGCTGGCAACCTCCCGATCCCGACCTTGTCAACATGCCAGTGATGCCCCACTGCAAGACCAAGAGTAGATCTGCTCACCACAGCAGGGGCCGCGGCTGCACCACCTGTGCCCGAGTGAGCACACACACTGCTCACCGCAGCCCCTTCCCACGCCCACACATCGGCCTGGCTACAACCCAGCCATATCGATGAGCAAGGAGGAAGGGGCCTACCACACACCCAAGGAGTGTGAGATGGAAGAGACCAGGGAGTCAGCTGGCTTGGAATGGGGAGCGACACACAGCACCCACCCTAAGCACGGGTCAGGTGCCTACTACGTGCACCGCCCTGAGCGTGGCCAGGTCCCTACTACGTACACCACCCTGAGCGTCGCCAGGTCCCTGCTAGGTACACTGTCCTGAGCGTGGCCAGGTCCCTACTACGTGCACCACCCTGAGTGTTGCCAGGTTCCTGCTAGGTACACTGTCCTGAGTGTGGCCAGGTCCCTACTATGTGCTGGCCATTGCCTGGGGGCCACAGCGGCAGGCTCAGTCAGGGCTCTACCCTCCTGTGGCACGGGCTGCTTGGGCACTGGAAATCTCTGTGGAGGGAATTCCAGTGAGTAGGGAGCATGCCTGCATGGGTGCTGTGAATGGTCATATCAGCCCCTGTCCGGAGCACCCTAGGCACTCCTGGGACCCTGTGACGAGGCCAGAGCCATGGGGGTGTGTGGCTGGGCAGAGCTGGCAGGTACCCAGAGCCAGGGTCCCCTGTACCCAGTACCTCTTAGGACAGGGAGAAGGGGCTGGGCAGAGCTGGCAGGTGCTGGGAGCTGGTTCTGCTGGGCAGCAATAGCCCTGCCCCACCTGGCAGCCCCCACTAGCCACTCTGCTTGGAGGGGACACTGACTGGGCCCCCCAGCAAAGCTGCAGCCTGACCAGGCCTGTGGCACAGCTAACCCCAGACATGGCCAGGCTGTGTGGTCCCCCGCCCATCCCCTGCTGGCGTGACAATGCCTTCAGGCCTAGAAGGTCCCAGACTCCGAGTCCCTCTCCTTCCACTTGGGCCCAGGACCCCAGAACCTTCCCTCTTTGCTGTCTCCTAGTGGGACTTGAAGCACAAGGCCAGCCATAGGATGCATCTCCACACACCCACCACACCCCTGCACCCTGGAACCACAGAGCTCCCACAGAATGGCCCACTTTCCGAGCTCTAAGACCCACCCGTGAGCATCCTTCCACAGAGCCCTGGTTGTCCTGTGGACACACACAGTGCTACAACCTCAGGGAAGGGTGGCTGTGTCCCCTGAGCATGCTGGCTGTCCCACCATTCCATTATAGAACACCAGTGGCCACAGGCTCCTGGGCCAGCAGGGCGCAGCCGGGCAGCAAGGGCAGGGGCTGCAGACTGCCTGACTGCCTCTCCTGCGTCCGTCTCTCAGAGGCCCTGCTGCACTGACAGAGGGCCCCTTGGCAAGGCAGCCAACACACAGGACAACTGGACACCCCCTCCCCCATGCGTGCAGTGACCCAGAGCCAAGCGAGGACAGGAGGGCTGGGCCATGCATGAACCCCACGGTGAGTCCGTGCCGGGGCTCCTCCACATGACCCCCTCCTGAAGCCAGTTGCAGAAGAGAGCTGTGGAAGCAGAGTAGCCCACAGCTGTAGCCAGGCCAGAGGAAGCCAGTACTGGTGCCCCAGAGGCAGCTGCTGCAGTCACAGGGCCATGGGCCCATCTAGGGTCCCCAGGGTCCATGGGACAGGCAGTGGCCCTTTGGGGGCCTCTGCCCAGCTTGGGGCTCTTGCTTCTTGCACATTTGTAGTAGACGCCGAATGGGACCATAGGCATCTTGCCTCTGTGAGCACCCCAGCAGCTGGCTGGAATGAGCTGCTTGCCGGGGGCTCCGCGTTCTAGCGGCCATTCCTGACTTGACCTTGATCAGCGTCCGAGGCCTGGCTTGCGCCTTCATCCGTAGATGCTGTCAGAAACAGACAGTGGCCTCGTTTGGGGTCCGTGCAGTAGATGTGGGGGACATGAAGGGGGCGGAGAGTGTTGTTCCATTGCAGGCAGGGCCGCAAGGAACTTTCCGCTGTTTGGCAGGGGCCCCGCGGACGTCTCTACAACCACCTGAATGCAACTCCACCTTTTGCATGGACACCGGACCACCCTGCGGAAGAATTTTAATCCACCCAGGCATTGTTTGCTACTGCGAGGCTGGCCTTTTGCTCAGTGTGAGCTTGGAGGTTAATGTTGGTGATAGCGTTTTGCCATTTCCCACCATCTGTGGTCACTGGCAGAGCCAAGCATCCTGACCCTCAGCTTTGCATGTCAGCTGTGCACTCCGGGTTTTCCTAATTAAATTCTGACAAAATTGGGCTTTGAGTAAAATACAACTCAGTCAATGGCCTGCCACACCCTTGTCCTGGTGCTAACTGCCCCACAGCTCTCAGGCAAGGTGCCATGATGGCCCCATGTCCCCTACAACTGCCCCAGCAAGCCAGCCTCTGACTCACCCCAACTCCCCTCACCACTCACCACAGCCCACCCCTGCCATGGATCCAACTGTAAACCCTACCATGGCCACATCCTCATCCCGCACAGCCAGCCCTGACTTCCACCCTGCCACATCCCCTCCCCACACGCCACAGACCCATCCCACCATGGCCCCATCCCACCACGGCCACGGCCCCCTCTCACCACAGCCATGCCACAGCCCTGACTCCCCTACACCCATGGTGTCTAGCCACTGCCAAGGATGGCACAGACTCGTCTGTTCAAATTGGCACAGAACCTGGAAAGCAGTTTCAGACCTGCTCACAATGTGCCAGGCATCAGTGGAAGCCCCCGCACACCCCAGCTCCACGCCCCCTGTCAGGGGAAGCCCCTGTGCACCCCAGTTCCATGTTCCCCATCATCATAATGGCCCACACTTCCTCATCTGATGGCATCCACCACTAGTCCGTCAGGTATGTGTCTGGTGTGTATGGGGCCTTCCACAGCTGCCCTCAGCCCCGTCCCAGCACCTGGCATGGGGCCACCTGGGCAACATGTGTGAGAAAAAATCATCTCCAGCCAAAGTGAGTAGGAGAGGAATCTGGGATTCCAATGGAGGAACAGCACAAGGGGAGCTGGTGGTGCCCAGGGGTCAGCACAGCCAGATGTGACCATCCCCTGGCACCTGCTGGCATCCGCAGAGGGGATGCTAAGACTCCCGACCCCACCCAGCCTCGGACATTCCAGGTGATCCGGGCATCTGGCCAGCTGCAGGAACCGCAAGGGCAAGCCAGGCTGGAAGAGTAAGGATGGCGGCATTCCCTATGGAAGGGTCCAAGGACACAGGAAGGCTGGATGGAAAAGCAGACTAGCATGGGTCAAGCCAAGCCGGGGAGCTGCCAGCCGTTAGGGAGGACTGCACTCTGCGGGTGGGGGACTGCCAGCCATTGGGGGCTGTGCACTCTGCGGGGTGGGGGGCTGCCAGCCGTTGGGGGACGTGCACTCTGCGGGGTGGGGGGCTGCCAGCCGTTGGGCTGTGTCATTCTGCAGACAGCACTCCCTGCCGCACATGCTGCAGGAGCTCTGGGAAGATGCTGCACGCAGACGTGTCTAGAAAGCTTCCCGCGGCAGGCAGCCCCTCTCCTGTGCCACCCAGCCTGCAGGTGGCCTCCCCTGAGATGCAGGGCTTGGCATCACACTGGGAGGCCAGGTCTGTGCCACTTGGCTGACATCTACTCAGTGAGCCTGATATGGCAGGAGGACCTCAGCGTGCTTATGGGAGAGTTTTGTTAAACTCAGATTACACAGGAAGAAACTGAGCTGCAACCAATAAAAAGAAACTTGACGTGTCCAAGGGTACACTACATTTGGAAGATTTTTAAAGCAATTAATTATTCCAGATAAACTGCTCTACTAAAGAGATCGGTATTATTTCAACAGACTAGTTGTTAAATAACAAATTTAACATACTGCATGGTGCTTGAATGCATTCTGTCCTCCTTAAGCTGTCCCAAGTGTGTGTGACATTGTGAGCACCCTGAATCGTGGGCCCGGCAGCCATCTGCGTGGTCAGCACAGGCTCAGCCTAGGTGGCTCTTGGCGGCACGGCCACAACTGGCTAGTGAGCCCATGGCTGCTTGCGTGGTCAGCACAGGCCCAGCCTAGGTGGCTCTTGGCGGCATGGCCACAACTGGCTAGTGAGCCCATAGCTACTTGCGTGGTCAGCACAGGCCCAGAGCGCAAAGGGCTGGTGAGCCCAGCGGCCATTGCATGCTTTTTCCAGATGTATAGGCCCCAGGCCCCCCACTTCCTCATTACCTCTATCCTGTGCTGTGCCACCACAGAGAAGACCTGACCTTCGCCCAAGCCGGGAAGGAAGGAATGGAATTCAGAGAGGACAAGGCCCAGGGGGCAGTGGCACTGGCTGACCAAGCTCTGTCAACTGTAGCCTTGGGTGCTGGTCACCTCACACAGAGTGGTATACAGCACTCCACGCACTGAGCCACAGTTGAGAGGCAGCACGAAAGACGAGCAGCTGCCCATTAGTGCAGACCGAGAAACACCCAAGGTCTGCAGTGAGAGGCAACCTGCTTAGCACACCCCGCAAGAGCCAGCGCGTAGTGCAGCCCCAAGACGCAGACATGGGTCAGAAGGCTCCTGATGCCATCCGAGACGCAGACACGGGTCAGGAGAAGGCAGGTTCCCAATGCCACTCGAGTCACAGACACGGGTCAGGAGAAGGCAGGTTCCCAATGCCACCCGAGGCGCAGACAACTAACCCAGACCTTGTCCCAGGTACGGCCCTCTCAGCAGATTCGCCTGTGGCATCAGAGCTGCATCTCTCCCTAAAGGAATGGCTGTGTCACTGCTGGCCACTCCAGGTCCTGTGTGAGCCCAGCTGGTCTCCCATCGCCCCAGGCCTTGGCTCATCTTGGAAAAGGCATCTGAGCCATAGAGCAGGAGGGAGAACAGGCCTGCATGATGTGGGCACCTCCGTGATGGCTTCTCAGAGACCCCCGGGTGAAGTCAGAAGCTCGACAGCCACCTTCGCATGGAGAGTTCCAGAACTGAGCAGTCCTCAAGAGCCAAGGCAAGGCCTGATTCTTGCCCTGCCACTGTGAGGCCGGCTCCCGACCTCTCACTCTGCAAGGCAGGTGCCAATCACCTCAGGCCAGAAGGCCAGTAACCATTCTTCATGTGCTGTGCTGTGAGTGGTCACTGGGTGCACCGTGTGTCGGAATGTTAGCAGCCTGGTGATACTGACTTCAACTCAGAAAAGCAACTTCAGTGCCCTGCCTTCATGGGAGAACACATACAAGCCACCTCCTGGGGCCTGGGACCTCTGGCTGCCTGTGGCTGCCCTTGGAAAGCAGATGTTCTCTACCAAGGAGCTCTGCTGCAGCTCACTTAAGCTCTGGTTTGCAAACTGGGTGCCTGTACTCGGCAGCAGGCAGTAGTCCCAGCAGCCACAGATCAGGCTGACCCCAACAGCTCGCACAGAAAGGCCACGGCACCCTAGGGCACAGGCTCCCATTGGAGACTCGGTGGAGGCACAGCCTTGCTGCTCTGGGCTCCGTGCCCATCTATCCCCTGTGTCCGTGCCCACAGGGCTGGGCCTCATGGTGCCGACTGCTTCTCTTGCCCACCTTGGGACCACCCTCCAACGGCCCAATTGCTACTCAGTCCCACATCTCCTCCTCCAGCTCACCAGTTCCTTCTGCCACACCACTAATGACTCAGTCTTAAATCTGTCCCGGCCTGTCTCACAGACTCCACCTCCACCATGCTCCCTCAGGGGAGACAGTGCCCTGCCCACCCTTTGTCCCAGTCCTGCTGACAACAATACGCAAAGTCCAACCAAACCTTGGTGAACCATCCTCACTTGCTAGGTGTGAACGCCACATCCCAGCCTGGCATCTCCAAGGAAAAAAAAAGGGTAAGCCTCCTGCCCCTTTAAGATGCGGGTCAAGGGAAAAGACAGAGCAACGGTCAGAAGTTTACAACATGAGCAGGGCTGCCAACCCCCAGACACCTGCTAAGGGCTTCCCCCAGCACATCCAGGCTGAGCGCTTCACATCTGCGTAAGCCACTCACTGTCCACTGAGCTCAAAGTCTGGGTTTGCACCAGAGCCCAGGGACCACTCAGGGCTACAGGGGATGCAGCTGCTCCCTGCCAGGAGCCACAGGGGTACCAGGGAGAGGCCAAGCAGCTGCTGGCCGAGCACCTGGCACAGCCAAGGCCTCATGAACACAGAGGTTCTCTCACCTCCCTCACCACCCCACCTGCACCTGAGCAGCCACATTGAGCGCCAGGGCATTCCTGACACAGTGGCAGGCCACCATAATGTCCTCAGACAACCCTGAGTACACACTGAGCTGGGACACAGCGGCAGCCCAGCCCATGAGCAAGCACAGACAGAGCTGACGCCTGCACTGATGCTGCCTCCCAGCCTCCGCTGCCTGGGCCAAGGGTTTTGCTTCCCTGGAAATGTGGGAAGAACACATATGCTGTGGGGGCACTTTGGTCTCTCCCCATCACGACTTATCAACAGCAAGCTGCACTCTCCAACAGCCACAGCACAAACAGCACAGGGACCCCTTTCTTGAGACCCTAGGCAGGGCCACAGTCAAGCAAGACCATGAGCAAAGGGTGCCACATTGGGAATTGGCAATCTGGAGATGTCTGCACTCAGAATCAAAGCCAACAACCAGGGGCTCGCAGGCATCAAATATGCCAGGCTGTGGTGTCCTGCTTCCCACTGCTCAGGCGAGCTGTTGGAGCCCTTGCCTCATCAAGGAACACTGAGGTCACTGCCCAGTCATGTTTTCCTCCCAGGAATTCCCAGGATCCCGGGGGTACCCTGAGAGGTGCAGATGGATCCCAAGCATGCAGGTGCCCACCTGTGCACTCCTCTTCAGGTCTATTGGGATTTGGGATTCTGGGGTCACAAGACCCAAGTCAGCCTAGCCCATGGGAGGGTGGAGATTGAACCTTTAAGAACCGTCGGCAGATGGAACCCACTTACCATGCAGCTGGCGACCCTTGTACAGGTCCCTGGTCTTGGCCGGGTGCGCCCTGGCGGTGTTGTCACATTTTGGCTGCTCATACCTGGCAAAAGGGAGAGCAAACAGCCATCTTGACACCCATAGATGGCACCTGTCCCTATTTCTGCAGTGCCCCCCAAGCCACAGCCACCACAGCATCAGTTCCCAGGGAGAAGCCAGGCCCAGCGCCTGGTGCAGATGGAACACAGCGAAGCATGCCTTCCACACTGCAGGAAGTCACAGGCAAGGTCCCTGAGTAGAGCTCAGTGCTCCTGCTTCCCAGCCCAACTGGAGCACGGAGCAGGGGAAGTCATGAGAGGGAGAACTGAGGTTGGTGGGGCAGGCTGCTAAGCCCCAAGCCTGACACGTCGCCAGCCCAAGGCAGTTCAACGCCAGCCCAGCTCTCACATCTATATTCTGGTTCAGTTAAGCTACTTCATGGCCCCCTATGACACGAGCAGAAAGCTCCAGAAGATCCCGGCTGGTGTGCCAGCCCTGGTGCTCATCTCCATGGCTCTGCCAGAGCAGGTCCTCTACCATATGGGACCACAGCCTTGATGAGGGGCCCAGGCCCATGCTCGCCCAGATAGAGCTCCTCACATACACTGCTCCACACTGAGCTGTGCACTGGGCGTGGGCGCAGAATGAAGACTCCAGACCTGTGCCCGTGAAGGACTGGTAGCAGGCGAGAAGCCAGCTCTCACACTGGGTACTCATCACCATGGGTGTCCCCAGACGTCCAGTCAGGGACCACACTCCTGGGAGTGTCCAGCTCCCACTCAGGTCCAGCTCCTGGGAAGTGAGGTCCACAACCACGGTGCCCTCACTGGCCGTGATGCTCCCAGCCCATTCTCTGACTCAGTGTCTTGGACAGTGATTCCATCTCAGCAGCTTTTCCATGGAGGACCCAGGAGTATCAGTGAGAGACAGGCAAGCCTGGTGCCCAGGCGGTCTCTGTCCTCCTGTCTCATTCCATGTCAGATACATGTGAGGCAGCCACGACGGAGAGAACAGACTCCCTCAACAGCTGACGGCCTGCAGGATGTCATCTTTAAAACAACACTCAGGAAGGGGCTGACTCAACCATGCGGGGGGTGCTCGGGTCCAGAGGCTCGGGCCCGTCAGCCTGCCAAGAGCTCATAGCTAGGTGGGCTGTCTTGTCCTGGGGGAGGGGTCCCAGGCAGCAGAGTTTGGGTCCAGAGGCTCTGGCCCGTTAGCCTGCCAGGTGCTTGGAGCCAGCCTGTCTGGCTAGCCCTGGGGGTGTGGACTCACGTCTGGAGGGTCCAGCCTATTGGCCACCACATCCTCAGAGCCATGTTTGTTCTGGGAGGGGGCCTGGGTAGCCTGGGCACTAATGACGCTGAACAAAACCCTAGAGCCATCCGTGATGGATTATGGGGCAGAAATGCAAGGATCTTTAAGAGTCAGTCCTAAGTATCAGCCCACATGGAAGACTAGGGCTGGGGTAGTTAGGACCAACTGATGCCAAATGCCATGCACTGCTGTGCACTAAAGCTAGGCTGGGGGCAGACACTGCAGAGCTAAATCCTAGTACTTGCCAGTGCGAGTCGGAACAGGGGACAGGAAATGGTAGGCTGGGCCATGGCACTAACCAGCTAGTGAGAGAACAGTGTCTGGGGGCAGATTCTATGGGGTATGTGTGAGTCCAACCCTGTGGCTCTGCAATTTCTACTGCTTTGCATGGGAGGTTGGGGTGATGACAGGCTGAGCTAGGCATGATCATGGAACCCTCCTATACTCATGGGTTCAGGGATTGGGTACAGGCTGGATTTGTCCAGGTTGTTGTACCTGCAGACACATTCAAGGATATGGTATGGCACGGGCCGGGCCACAACAACCACTGCTCATACATGGGTTGTGACGGAAAGGGTAGTCTATTCCTGGTAAGGGCCTAACACTCGCTGGCACGTGTGGGATCTAGGGCTGGGTCTGGTGGGGGAACTTGGGAAATGCCCTTGTAGGTGATAGCTCCTGCTGGTGAGCATGTGATTCAGGCTTGGGTGTTGATCAGATCAGGCAAGGTGGCTTCCCCTGTCAGAAGGTATGTGGGTTGGTTTTGGAAGGAGGTAGACCAGACAGGGTCAGGCCAACCTTAGCTCACTGACAAGTGCAGGAACCAGGCTGGAATGCAAGGCATGCTGGGCTGATACGCATGAGTCAGGGATGGGAACAGACTGGCCAGGGCTAGGCTGTTGCACTCACCAGCAAAAGCTGAGAATCAGGATGGGTCAGGTTAGGCCAAGCAACAGCATCCCATAGCAAGGGTCAAAATGGGGGATGGGTTATGCCAAGCTGGGTCAGAGCAACCACTGGCTCGTGTAAGATCTGGGGCTGGGAACAGACCAGGTTGGGGAGCAAAGGGGACAGCCCAGTAGGCTGTGGTTCCCACTGGTGAGCACAAGATCCTGAATGGGGAAGAGTCCAGGCTGGACATGGCTGCAGAGTCTCGGCATGGGTGTGGACTGGATCTGGGGTGCACCAGACTGGACTAGATTCCAGTACCCACTGGTGCTTGTGAGAGCCAGAATGGGTATAGGACAGGCTGGGATAGGTTTCGGCTCCCACTAGGTGTTGGGGTCCTTGCAGTGGATGTAGAGGACACGAAGGGGTGAAGAGTGTTGTTCCATTGCAGGCAGGGCTGCAAGGAAGGAACTTTCCGCTGTTGGGCAGGGGCCCCGCGGACGTCTCTACAACCACCTGAATGCAACTCCACCTCCCTTTGCATGGACACTGGACCACCCTGCGGAAGAATTTTAATCCACCCAGGCATTGTTTGCTACTGTGAGGCTGGCCTTTTGCTCAGTGTGAGCTTGGAGGTTAATGTTGGTGATAGCGTCTTGCAAAGGGGTCTTCTATTATTCCCACTGTCTTGGCTGTCCCCATTGACCTTGTGCTAATCAAGGGACCTACATTTAGGCTTTCATTCTTTCCTTGATCTTTAGATTCCCCTTTTCTTTGTGATACAAGATTGAGTTGTAGGATAAGAATTGTAGCAGGAACTTCTATTGTTTCTAGGTAAAACTATGGCAGAATTATCCTTAGAAATTCCCAACTTGGCCATGATGTAAAAAGTCTGAGCCAGAGTTTGACTGGTTTTGTATAAATAAAGCGTAAAGCTTTCCCACATTGTCCATTATGATCATGTAATCCTAGTGGTCCGTCTTTCTTTCTTCTTTACGCCTCATCCACGCACCCTTCTCGAGTTCCGAACTCAGCTGGAGCTGGACTCTGGCAACTAGGTATATTAGAGCTGCCTCAGGACTTGAATCGGGCATGGTTGGGCTGTAACACCCAACAATAAGAACTCGGTTGGGTATGGGCCACTTGGGCAAGGCCAGCACAGGAGGTAGACTAAGAAAGCCTGGGCCAAGGACAAACCGGTGTGCCTGAATTCTGCAAGGACACACAGTAAAGGAGCTTCAGGAACTCCTTTGTCAGGGCGCAGTCCCTGCAAGTGAGCATGAGAAACAAGACAAGGAACAGCCCAGACCAAGCCAGGTTACAGTACCCACCAGCACATGTACGGCTCAGGCCTGCAGGTGGGCCAGGCTGGACCAGTTCATAACCCACTGGCAGATCTGAGAACCAGCACTGGGTGTGGGACAGACCAGGTCGGGCCGAAAAACCAGCCTGTTCACATTAGGGCTGGGACTGGGGGCTGACAGTACTGGGTGGCAGCACCTGCCAGTGTGAGCTGCAGTAGGAGCAGACTGGGCCAAGCAAGGCTGCAGCACCTGCCAGCAAATGCTGAGATGAGATGGAACATGCCAGACTGGGCTGCAGCACCCACCAGCATGCCCAGTAGGGGAGATGCGGGGACTCCCATGCTGGGCCACTGCTCCTGCTGCTTAGTGTGAGAGCTGAGACTGGAGGCAGACAAGGTCAGACAGGGCTAAAACACCTGTTGGCCTGCGTATGAACTGGTTTAGGGAGAGAGCCAGGCTCGGCTAACCAATTGTATCCACCGGTGCAGGCATGAACCACAGTAAGGGCAGGTGGGTTGGGCTTTGTCAGAGCAGCAGCTGACAAGTTCTGGGACTGGGGCAAGTCTACTGAGCGAGACTACAGAACCACCTGGTAAGTACAATATCCAGGGAAGGGAGTGGGTCCAGTGGAAAGGTTGTGGGCACCTCTCTGATGGGCTGCAGCTCCCACTGGTGAGTATGAGAACCAGGACTGTGGACAGGCCTGACTGGACAGGCAGTGGCACCTGATGGCATGAGTGTGGGCTGGAGTGTAGATTCAGTTGGGTTGAGTTAGGCTTTAATTACCAATTATGTGCATGAGATCTCAGTGGGATATGGGGAAACAGAACCAGTCCACTGCACATGCTGGCAGGCACAGGAACCAGAACTGGAGGGCTGGTCCAATGGGGTTTATTGGCGGTCGCTCTGATTGGGCTGTAGCTCTCCAAAGTGTACACGAGGGCTGAGCAGTGTGTTGGGCAGGGCTGAGCAGTGGCCATGGCACCCATTGGTTTGCTGAGGATGGAGGGCAGAACACACTGATCAACTACCCCAGTGAAGCTTGACAGCAACATTTTGGGTGAATGGAGACTCGGAGGTGGACTCTGTCAGCCAATTGACCTTGGAAAGAGTTCCTCATTCTTGGAGCAGCGAAAGCAGCAGCATCTCAGAGCTGTCTACACCACTTAACCAGAAACCTCAGAGAACGCTCCACCTTGGGGCTCTGGGATGGCATGGGGTGGTTGCTCCCCACCCCAGGTGCTGAGGCAAATGGAAGGCTGGGTGTATCCCCTCCGCTCCAAGTGTAGGAACAAGGAAAAGAAAATGTGTAAACAGCCTTTACCCTGACTAACTATGTAAACATCATCAAAAATAAAATACATATTTAAGAAAGGGACACTGAGAGGCAACAGTGCCTGGTGGCCCTCAGGAGCCTACAGTGACCCTGCGGCCACTACCCATAGAACCTCAGGAGCCTGCAGTGACCCTGTGGCCACTCCCCACAGGTGACAGTACCTGGTGGCCCTCAGGAGCCCAGCGACCCTGTGGTCACTCTCCACAGAACCTCAGGAGACCAGTGACCCTGTGGCCACTCCCCACAGGTCCTCAGGAACCTACAGTGACCCTGTGGTCACTCCCCACAAGCCTTCAGGAGCCAGGTGACCCCGTGGTCACTCCCCACAGGACCTCAATGGACCACAGGCTGACGTGGGGGTGAGAACCCCACTGTTCCCTGGGCTTGGGGTGCTGTCTCCAAGGTGCCCAGAATGGCACTGGTCCGGAATCCTGCAGCTTTGATGCTAACCTGGAAGCAGCTGCTTTGGTTCCAGGATGGGGTCTGTGGAGTCTCAGCAGTCTGAAAACCCAAGCTGGTGAAAACTCATACATGTGGATCAGGCGTCTGGGACAGTGGTTAAGATGCCAGCTCAACCACCCACATCGCAGAGCACAGCCCCCAGGCTTGATGTTTGCTCCTCTGATGGCCCCAGAGGGCAGCAGCAGTGACCAGAGCAGCAGGTCCCTGCTCCCCACAAAGGGCTGCCCAAGCCTGCCTGCCTGCCGTACCCAAGGTGCAGAGGAGGGGCTGGCATGGCTCAGTCCCTGAGCAGGACAGACTCCGAGTGATAGCCGTGGCTACTTCCTTGAGCCGAGCACACTACATACCACATGTGTGTCTAGAAGGAGCCCCCTTGGGCCCAGGGTGGTCTGCCTCCCCTCACCCAGCCCAGCGTTAAAGGGCAGCAGTTGCTGCTGCCATGGCCCACACCACAACAACAATGGTCACCCTCCCTCCTGGTGACCTTGGTGCCTGCCAGCTAGGGTCACTGTTCCTACCAGCCACCAGGCCTTGCTGGGGTGTGGAGGGGCACTGTGTGTGTACTGGGGTAGTATCCCCATATCTGTGCACAGGTGAGCCTTACCTGGTGGACGTGCCAGGAATGGGGCGCCCTGTGTCTACCAGCACACACCAGCAGTACCCAGTGGATGGGTGGCACTGCACCGGCTTGTAGAGGCCGCCATGGGCACACTCGGGAATCACCACGTTGTCATTCTTGGGTTGCTTGGCTTCTTCCAGGGCTGACTGGTGCTCCTGGTCGCAGGATGACACTGTGGGGGAACCAAACAGAAGTGGTGACTGGGCCGCCCGGGGTCATCCAGGTACAGAGCAATGGGTCAGCACAGGTGACCACAGAATGGACAGCTCTTCCCTCCACATAGGACACAGCACATGGTGGGCACCGGTGGGCCTTGTGTCCACACCATTCCCGGCATCCTAGCAGGAACAATGCCGGAGAACCACATGGGCACTCCTGTGCTCCCAGCCCAGGCCAGCGGGGCTCGGGCAGGGCCACCTCCCCATGCCTCGCAGGACCCTGCTTGTCCCCCAGTCTCCATCAGGATCATAATCCATGGCCAGTGCCCTACTCCTTGCCTCTCAGTGTTGCCAGCCGCATCCGTATGCACTGGCCACATGCCGTACCCAAAATGGCGCCGGCCGGAGAAGCCACACCTTCGTGCCTGGTGGAGAGTCACGTAGCTTTCGCGGTACTGCGCAGGCGCCTAGCGCAGTGAGCTGCGGCGTGGCCGGCGCATGAACACTGGGGACTGACGAATCCGGTCGCCCAGGACCCTGCGTGATCATTACGCCGACCTATCATCGGCGGAGGCAGGGCCAGTCAGCACATAAGAGCAGGCAGCCTGCCGGGGTCGGGGCCTTTCCTCTTCCTCATCTTGGTGTGCACAATAAAGACTACCGCAGAAGACTTCACTCGTGTCTGCCTCTTATTGCTGGACGATAGGACTCGTGGGCACGACATCTCAGCATCTGCTCAAGGCACTGCAGAGCAGATGGGCTCTTGGTCTAACCGGGAGAAGAGCAGAAACCAGGCCACAAGGCTTGTAGGGCAGCCCTCCAGCTGAAACCAGCCAGGAATGACCCAGACAGGCAGGCCCCATTCCACATGCGAGGTATGTACCAAGCAAGTTGTGGAATGTGCACACAACTGGGTGCTAACAGCCCCTGTGTATGCACCACGCTGAGTAAGGTCACCACGTGTACTGCTCCAGGCTGAGTAAGGCCACTGCACACACGTGTACTGCACCATGCTGAGTAAGGCCACTGCACACACGTGTACTGCTCCAGGCTGAGTAAGGCCACTGCACACACGTGTACTGCTCCAGGCTGAGTAAGGCCACTGCACACACGTGTACTGCTCCATGCTGAGTAAGGCCACTGCACACACGTGTACTGCTCCAGGCTGAGTAAGGCCACTGTACACACGTGTACTGCTCCAGGCTGAGTAAGGCCAGCCACTGTAAGGATGAACCCAGCTGACTGTACCTGTACAAGTGAAATCTTCCATCTGCTGGTTCATTCCCCCAAACGCTGGAACTGCCAGAACTGAGCCAGGCCAAAGCCAGGGCAATCTGGAGTTCCATCTGGACCTCTGATATGGGCCACAGTAGCAGCGAGCCTGGGCCGCAGTGCCTAGGGCCACTGGCTGTGCTAGCCTCACAGACAGTGGCCTAACTTGTTTGCCGCATGCCCGGGCCACGTAGGTTCCAAAAGCCTGTAGTTCCTGTGTGCTCACACAGAGTGGACAGTAAGTGTCCTGCTCACATCCACCCCAGATTCCGGTCAGTAACCACTGGCTGGGCAACATGTGCAGGGTCACCTGGGGAGCCGGGGATCTCTCACGTCTCTCCACATGCAATCAACCACTGAGAGTGAGGGAAGACACCCCCAGTGATGGCCACTTCACACCAAGGCTTCCTCACGAATTCCACACATGGGCTCTGCCCAGTCCTGAACACAGGCTCCCACCTCCAGGGTAATGGGAGACTGGGGGAAGAAAGCAGGACGTGGCCCACATTCCTGTCTGAGTTACCCTCCCAAGTGTCTCTGGGAGGAGGAAAGGACGACGGGGCTGGCAACTCGCTTCCAGTGGAAACCTGCCATGGTTATGTGGAAACGGCAGTGGCCAGAGCTTGGGTAACTGATGGTGCACCAGCTGCAGCCAGCCGTGAGTGCCTGGGAGCATGGTGCCTGCTGACCGCGGCTGCTGTGGTGGTCAGTGTCCCCAAACATGCTGCTTCTTCCGGTGAGCATTTGCATGTGCTCAGAGAGGCCATCCGAGCACTTTACTGTGCACTCTGTCCACCTCATGCTGTAGCTGTAAACACCATGCTGGGAGCCCCCTCAGGTACCCTCCTGAGCAACACACACTGCGTTTGGAGCTCCTTGTTGGTCAAGGAGCACTGACTGGGTCAACCATGTCCCCCAACCCACCGAGCCCACTGCACTGTGCTGGGAGGCCGACGCGGTGCCTCCCTGTGCACCATGGAAGCACAGGTTAGGTGAAAATCGGCAGGGCAGACCCAGAGCACCGACCTCTGAAAGAAAACCTGGTGACCTGGACTTCACCAGAACTGACACCAGGCCCATTGAAGCGCCTCGGCCAAGTGGAAAGTCATGCTTCAGGCCGGGCAATGCTCCCACGCACACGTCTCACAAAGATTACAAAGACGGGTTCTACTACTACTCCTCAAATCAACACAGACCACAAAGAGCACAATTTAAACTTTGCAATGATTTGAATACACACTCTGACATGAAACTTACATGATTGGATAATAAACCCTTGAAAAAAGCACATTCAAAATTGTTATGAAAATGCAAATTAAAACCGCTATGAGATGCCACCACCCACCTGCCAAAATAACCCAAATCATAACCCATCATGTGTAGTTGATGTTTAGGTCCGCTGTGCTCCGGTGTGCTCCTCCTGGCAGTGCGACACAGGAGGACCACATGGAGGTCTGCCCTCAGGCACGGAAATGTGCCCACAGAAGGACCAGTACAAAAGTGCGCACAGCGTTAACCTGCAAAGTCCCACCAGGTGGAGAATGCACAGACGGCAGTGCCTGCCAGCACCCCGCAGCAGAGCAAGAGGCACCAGGGCACCTTCAAGGGCAGCTCTCAAGCCACACCACTGGGCGCAAGTGGGCTGAAGTGGGGGAGTGGGCAGCCTCGGTGATGGCAGGCGTCCACAGCCAGGGTGGGACGTGGCACCCATCTTGCAGGAATGGAGCCACCTGCTCAGGCGCACTTAAAAGCGGCTTGTACATCCCTAACTTCCCAACCGACCGAATCCCTGTCCAGGTGGTCCAAAGCAGCTCCGTGCATATGTAGGATGCAGGACTCCCACAGGACAGGAGGACACGGCCACACTGTCTTCTTTTCTTGTCCACCTTACCATGGATTCCATCTGAGTCAAGTGCCACTCCCCTCCACAGGATGCAGTGTTGCACTGCTGTACCTCCCCAGGAGCATGTGCTGTCCCACCCTGCCCACACCCTGACAAGGGAGGAGCTCACACCAGGGAGAGTGGTGCCTGCAGCTGCCAAGGCTGGCTTTGCAGACACACGTTCGCGTGTTTGTGATAATGCTGCCAGGCCTCCAGGCGCTGCCTTGATTGGCAGGACACAGTGCTCATTAGAGGGTGAGAGTGAGAGAACCAGAACATGCCCAACCTGCTCCAGCGATGGGCAGAACAGGTGCCATGAGCTGACCACGTCTAGCCAAGCTTGTCCTACACACAGTCCGTGGGCCCACCTGCAGGCCCGTTCCTCCCTTGACCTGCCTCTGCCCACCTGAGGCCTCTCTGGCACGATGTCTGGCTCTCAGCTGGCTCAGGGGTTTGAGGGGCAGAGACCACAGCCTGTTCACTTCTATTGGCCTCACCAAGTGCCAGCCTCGGGGGAACCTCAGCCTGGACAGCCTGGCAAGGCCCCACCAGCACATACAGCCCTCCTGGGCACTGTGGGGTCCTCGCCTGCACCCTTTCCCAGTTCATTCTCAATGGACAATGGCATCCCACTTTCAGGAGTAAGCTTGCAGCAGCATTCTTCCCTGCCCTGGGAACTGGACTGCAGGGCTGTGCAACAGGGGTGTGGGGGCATGGGGCCTGGACCTGCCCCTTGCCTCTGCAGTTGCTGTGGGAACCGCACCACAGCCCTCACCTGTGCCAGGAGAGGCTGGCAGACACAGCAGCCTCGAGTCACGGTCAGCTGTTGTAACTCCTGCCATACGCAGGTCACCCCGCCACGGGTCAGGGCTAAAACTCCATGGAAGCATCTCCAGAAGTGCTATCCTCATCTCTGTGTCCTTTAAGTCATTTATTTTCATGCTATTTGAAAGGCAGAGAGAAAGCTCATCTATCGGCCGGCTCCCTTCACACCTGCAGCAGTAATAGGACGCACTGCAGCCAGGAGCCACACTGAGGCTAGGCTTCAGCTTGGGCAGGGGCTCAAGCCCTCACTGCCTCAAGAGTGCACTTCAGCACACAGCTGGACCCGAAGTGGAGAAGCCAGATTCAAATCAGCTGTCCCCATATGGCATACTGAGGTCTCGGCACCCAAGGCCCAAGGTCCAAACAGTTCTCTCTTAAGAACAGACTGCATTCAAGCCCTAGCAGCCATGCATGCCAGCACACGGCCTGCACGAGGGTGAGCTCTGGGAAGATGAGGCACAGTACAGATTCAAGAGCTGGAAAAAGAAGAGCACATGGAGGGGCCGGCCGGGGACCAGGCAGAGCTGCTGAGGACGGGGTCTTCCTGTGGACTGGCCATGCAGGGGCAGCTTGATGCTGCTAATCCTCTTAGCTCAGTTCTGTGCCAAGCCCGAGGCAGGAGCCTGGTGGACACAGCCTTCGGGAAGCACTGGAGGCAGGGTGGGCCTCACAGCAGCCACAGCACTGGATTTGCTCCCAGGACACTCCATCGAGGAAGCCCTGCTGGGTAGACCCCTACACTTACCGAGGAACATGCTGGGCCTGTACGGTTTGAGCCCCATCAGCGGACCACCAGGCAGGGTGTGCTCAGGGCGCACTATTTTGGATCAGTTCTCAGGGATCATCCCTTAGGCCCTGGCAGAGGTCCTTGGGGTCTGAGCTACATTCCTGAGCTCTCGGAGCCGTGTTCTCTGTCTCTCTCTCTCTTTCCCGAAGGTGTGAGCCGGGGGTCATAACGCTGTCAGCCCTGATCCACAGCACCCTCAGACCAGACACCTCCTAGGAGAATGAGGGATCCTTACACCAGCCTTGGAG